CTCGGGAGGCTGAAGCAGAACCACTTGAATCCGGGAGGTGGAGGTTGTAGTGAGCTGAGATTGTGCCATTGCACTCCAGCCTGGGCAACAAGAGTGAAACTCCATCTCAAAAAAAATAAGAATGAGAATGTCATATTTTCCGTTGTGGTGTCTTAGGCTTGTGAGAAAGAAAGCTGTGGGAGTTAAATAAAATGTCTAAAACTGACTTTTTAATTCAGTAATTTTTGTCTGGATCCTAACCTGAATGTTGACTCAGCAAAAGCAGGAGCTATTTGTCTCTGCCATCCCACACAAAGCCCACAAGGAACATGCCTTTCTTCTCAGGCTTAGCAAATCTTCTTGTGTACTTAGATTTCTGAGTGCACTTTGCACAGCTGCCGCAGGGACACTTGCAACATGAGAACCGCCGTGTACCAAAACAGTGATTGCATATCTACAGTGAAATTCTATTCTTGAATTCCACAAGAATAAAAAATTCTTTGCTCCTGTTCTGTACCCAGGAAAGGGAACCTAGGAGGACCACTGGAGCGAGGACAGTTATGGAACCATGCAACTGGACTTCCAGATTCCACGAACTGCAGTCCTGCAAGCTTTCTCCACGGTCTGTAGTTCACCTTCACCTCACAGGATGGGGGAGAGATCAGACACTCCGGCTTTCTTAATGTAATGTTGGTGTTTCTTTAACAAAGTATAGCCTAGACCTTTATCACGAGCCGAAGTCAAGGCACCCAAAGTCCAAACACTTCTTTACTTCATGGGGACATCCAGTCTTTCAGCCTAGAGTCCACAGTCGTTTGGGAGTGACTCCCCTCTGTCTTGAACTCATCCCACCCATATTTTCCAAGCACATAGTCTTCATGGGGAGGCCCCTGGGCTCCACGCTGTGCTGAGAGCTCTCCAGTTCCTTGTCCCTTTCTCACCTTCTTGTCTAGCGTCCTCTTTGCGACTTCTCCTCCATGTGGACAATCATTCAATTTTCCTCCTAATGGTGTGGGAGGAGGGCTGTAGTCCTCGATATGAGGCATCTACAAGGCAAGTGGGCCTTCATGTTGTAAAAAATGGCCCCCTCTTAGCAGTTTGCTTGTGTGTTAAGCTTAAAATATGTTATTATACTGAAAAAGGGAGGGGGTGCTGAGTTGCATTCCCAAGGCCCTATCTGTGAACTCAACTTCATTATGGGGCAGGAGAGCAAAATTGCTGGGAGGTGGGGAGGATGAAGGAAAGTGAAAAGTTCCATCCTATGACCAAATGTCAAACTGAATACTCAAATTAATTTGAATAAAATTTCAGTTAATTTGAGTTAATTAATTTGAATAAGAAAAAAGTTGTCAACTTCAGCAATAAGACTTTGACATCATATTTTTTGCCCTGTTCAGCAACAGCCGGTAAAAGAGGTGCCTGATATTTTGCAGCTTTCCTCTGATTGATCCCCACATTTCACCTATTTTACATATACCTACACTTCCCTAAGGGTTTTCTACACTGTTGTGCCTATCTTTGAGTGACGTCTTCACTTTAACTTTTTTGTGTGTATTCACAAACCAATCAGCACACACGTGCCATTCTGAGTCTGTAAAAGCCCTGACCCAGCCATACTGGGAGAGAAGCGCACGTGACTGCTGGTATGAGGGACCACTCCTGCACCTTTCTCCGCTGAGAGCTGTTCTGTCACTCAATACAATTCTTCTCCACCCTCCTCACTCTTCGAATTGTTAGTGGGTCCTCTTTCTTTTTCTTTCTTTCTTTTTTTTTTTTTGAGACGGAGTTTCGCTCTTGTTACCCAGGCTGGAGTGCAATGGCGCGATCTCGGCTCACCGCAACCTCCGCCTCCTGGGTTCAGGCAATTCTCCTGCCTCAGCCTCCTGAGTAGCTGGGATTACAGGCACGCGCCACCATGCCCAGCTAAGGGTCCTCTTTCTTTTTGGATGCGGGACAAGAGCTTGGAAACCACTGAACATGGGTACAGGCTATAACACGGGCTAAGTGGGCAGGGTGCCTCCAGCAGCAGGCTGGAGACCAAGTGGGACCTGGGAGGCAGGTGGGGGCATCGCTGGCTAAGGAGGTCCCCAGCTGGCAAAGTGGCCACGAAAAATTCTGTGTCAGTACTGATAAACTGGCAACTGTCTCACCACTGCACCCACCATCACTGTGGCCCTGGCAGCTACCAGCTACTGTGGCTCAGGTGCTAGTTATCTCCCAATATCTGTCTTTCCCTTTTTCTGTGAGTAACAGAAGCTCCCATTGTCAGGTGGTCACATGGCTGCCTATAATAAAGACTACATTTCCCAGCCTCCTCTGCAGCTAGGTATGATCATGAAAGGTCATATCCCTAATCTAGTGGGATATAAGTACAAGTGTCATGTGCAGTTTCTGGAAGATAACCTTAAAGAGAGAGAATGGCCCTTCTTTGTCCAGTTCTCTTTCCTGAATTTGGGACAAAATGGCTGGAGTTCAGCAACCATTCTGGGCCATGATGCAGAAGTCACACAGCAAGGATAGAGGAGTAATAAAGTAAAAGTTGCTTGGGTTCTTTATAACCGTGGAGCTTCTGCAGCCGCTCTGGACTTCTCACTCCTGAATTTCACTTACACGAAAAGAAGGTGACCCTCTGTATTGCTTCAACTATGAAACTGGGTTTCTGTCACTAGCAGCTGAACCAAATCATAGTGACACAGTTCCTTTAAGAACCTGTCCAAGCCGGGCGTGGTGGCTCAAGCCTGTAATCCCAGCACTTTGGGAGGCTGAGGCGGGCGGATCACGAGGTCAAGAGATAGAGACCATCCTGGTCAACATGGTGAAACCCCGTCTCTACTAAAAATACAAAAAATTAGCTGGGCATGGTGGCGCGTGCCTGTAATCCCAGCCACTCAGGAGGCTGAGGCAGGAGAATTGCCTGAACCCGGGAGGCGGAGGTTGCGGTGAGCCGAGATCGCGCCATTGCACTCCAGCCTGGGTAACAAGAGCGAAACTCCGTCTCAAAAAAAAAAAAAAAAAAAAAAAAAAGAACCTGTCCACAGTGCATACGAAGAATCCTCAGCTCAGCTCTGTTGGGCTGTCTAGCTTCTGCCCCTCACTGCCCCTGTCCTCGGGCTCTGGCCTTCCTGACCGTTCCTCTGCTCCCTAAGCATCTGCCCTGATTCCCAGTGAGTGCCCTGCAGGTGCCCTCTTGCCTGGTCTGGAACTCTCCTCCCTCACTGTCCTCCTCTGCTTTTTGTCTTAGGAAGGCTGAAATAGCCATGCACAAAATAGAACGCTTTGAGAAAAGCTATACGTTCCAGCAGAGAGAGGAAAAGAAGAGACAAAAATAACAGAGGGGCACAGACTCCTGAGGGCTCACCCACCGGAAGTCATGTTGGACCAAATTCAGAATCCCTTCTCGTCCTCCTTGACCCACCTCACTTCACGGTGAGCCCAGACTTCCTCCCATTAGAGCTAGTTGGGTTTAAAACATATGCTTAGAAAACTACAGCCAGCCCTACAGGAATGAAGGGGTTACTTTCCATTTGCAGTTTACTGTGAATTTGTTTAATCCAACTCTTTTTTAAATTCACTTTTTTTCATGAAACAAATATTCATTAAGCACCTATTTTATATTCTAAGATAGATATAGATAACGTATGTGCCAGATGTGGAGGGCAGAAGTCCCACGCAGCTCTCACTGGACTGAAATCAAGGAGTCGGCAGGGCTGTGCTTCCTCAGAGAGGCTTTGGGGAGAATCCTTTCTCCACTTTTCCAGCTTCTAGAGGCTGCCCACCTTCCGCGGCGTAAGTCTGCTTACCTCTCCCACTAAAGGCTGCAACAGCAGGCAGAATCCTTCTCATTGCATCTCTCTCTTACCCAACCTAAAAGGTTCTCAATGTTACGTTCTCAGACTTCCGTGATTCCACTGGGCCCACCTGGGTAATTAAGGCTAACCTTTCTCCCAACCCGCACCCCGCGTCGAGGTCCTTAGCTTGAATCCTCTGCAAACTCTCTTCTGTCATGTAAGGTAATATATCCACAAGTTCCCAGGATTAGGGCACACATATCTTTGGGAGACTCTATTCTGCCTACTTCATCCTCCCAATTCTTCTTTTCTATACCCCCAAACCACTGCTTGCAGCAAGGTTTTTTCTTTTGTTTTGTTTTGAGAAGGAGTCTCGCTCTGTCACCAGGCTGGAGTGCCCTGGTGCAATCTCGGCTCACTACAACCTCTACCTCACAGGGTCAAATGATTCTGCCACCTCAGCTTTCCCAGCAGCTGGGAATTCAGGCGCCCGCCACCACGCCCAGCTAATTTCGTATTTTTAGTAGAGCCGGGGTTTCACTATGTTGGCCAGGCTGGTCTCGAACTCCTGACCTCGCGACCAGCCCACCTCGGCCTCCCAAAGTGCTGGGATTACAAGTGTGAACCACCGCGACCAGCCGGTAAAGCTTCTTAAAATCTTCTTTTTCCTCTCCATCCAGTTCTGAAAGCTTCAGCTGTTTTGCATCTTTCTCCTCAGCATTCCCGAGAAAAACTCCATTACAGGCCTAGCCCCTGAGCTTCTGCCTGTATCCCTGCGCCCTCTTTCTCCTGGGATTGGGACGGGGAAGCAATCGCTCCAGGAAACCCCTCTAGCAGAAAGAAGAGGACTCGTGGTGGCGGAAGGGGGAGGGGGGCCCCAGGGAAATCGTGTCAGGGGCTCCAGGGCTAGTCCAAGGCGGCCTTGGGCGTGGCGGCAACAGGCTGGAGCGCCCGAGCTTCGGAGGCCTCTGTCTCCCCTAGATTCCCCACTGATGAAAGGGGACGCCTGCCCGCCGGCCCCCGCTTCCCCTGTTCCCTGCCAGGCCGCGTCCCTCTCAGCGACGTTGGCTGCGGCAACCTTGACCTGCAGCGAGGACACCAGGATTTCTCAATTTCTCCAAATCCAAGCCCGAGCCCGAGCTCTGATGAGCCCGGCACTGCTTCCCAGCACCTGCCTTCTCCAGCTCGCGCCCTGCGTGGCCACGGCCCCAGCCTCCGCCCCTCGCTGCCGTCTCCAGGGCGCAGGACGCCAGGCGAGCAGCCGGCCCGGGTCGCGGAGAATGAGCGCGAGTGAGTGCGGGCGCCCGGCGGGCGGGCAGGGGGGCCGGAGGAGGTTGCCCAGCCTCGTGAACTGCGAGACCCGGGGAGAAATGCTCGATCGATCCCGGGAGCGCGGCTCCATGGAGACCTTGTGTACGCACCTCCCCGCTCTCTCCCGAGGCGCACCTCCCCTACCCACCCGCGCAGCCGCAGGGTGGGGGTGGGGACAGTGCACGCAGCTGGGCTTTTCCTCGCCTTGGGGTGGGCAGCAGGGATTCTTTGGGGAAACGTATTGAATGCACGGGAGCCTCGGCGAGGGAGCGCGAAGCAGCCCCTCCTTGCGAGCCCTCTCCGTGTTCCAGGGGACTCCGAGGTGGGACAAGGAGCTGTCCAAGCTGGAAGGGTGGGGAGTGGGACGGGGAAGGGGCCCAGAGCGGGGCCCTCTGCATCCCCCTCGGGACAGAGGGCAGGGTCCAGCCGCCCCCACTCTCAGCCTCTCCTCCGGCACCCACACTATTCCATCTCCAGGACACTGGGGAGGGAGACGCACTTTCAGAAGAGAAGTAAAACCTAGACAGGGCGGGACACACACACCTTAGTTAAACCTACAATAAATATTCATTAATGATTAAATCAATACTGGCTTGGATAAATGTGATAAAACATCAAGTAAAAAACTCAAGACTCAAAAGTGTCTTCTTAGAGCATTTGCAGAATCTATGTGGGTAGTTTGTGCATCTGTAAATACTTTGTTGGTGAGGAATAATCCATAATGTCAGCGATATACTGTATACTACCTGTCTTAGCTTGGAATACCATGATGAAATACCATAGACTGGGTGGTTTAAACCACAGAATTTTCTCACAGTTCTGGCTGGTGGAAGTCTAAGATCAGGGTGCCATTGAGGTGGGTTTCATTCCGAGGCCACTCCTCTTGGCCTGCGGGGGGGGCGGAGGGTCATCATTTTCTCTGAGTGCTTGTTTTTTTTGTTTTTTGGGGTTTCTTTCCCCCCCGACAGTCTTGCTCTGGTTTCCAGTCTGGAGTCCAGTGGTGCGATCTCGGCTTACTGAACCCTCTGCCTCCCATGTTCAAGCAGTTATCCTGCCTCAGGCTCCCAAGTAGCTGGGATTACAGACGCGTGCCACCATGCCCAGTTAATTTTTTGTATTTTTAGTAGAGACTGGGTTTCATCATGTTGGCCAGGCTGGTCTCCAACTCCTGACCTCATGATCCGCTCTCCTGGGGCTTTCAAAGTGCTGGGATTACAGGCGTGAGTCACCGCGCCCGCCCGGCCATTCTCTGCATGCTTTTATGGCCCATATCTGTGTCTGAAACAGTCCTGGGAGTCAGGAGACCCAGTTCTGTTTTCAGCTGAAGTAAGTCCCTTCTTTTCCTTCCTTGAGCCCAGAAGATCAAGGTTACAGTGAGCTGTGATTGTACCACTGCACTCTAGCCTGGGCAACAGAGTGAGATCCTGCCTCTACAGAAAAAAAAGAAAAAAGGTCGAACTCCCCCACGAAACGGTTTTCTGTAGCTGCCAAGTCTGGTTGCTCTTCGGCAGCAGCCTGGAGCACAGCCTTGTGAGGGACACGGGGGTGATGGCCGTCACTGGAGGAGGATTGCTAGAGTTAACAGTGATCCTGGTTTGCCTCATGCTTTTCTGGTTTTAGCACCCAGTGTACTGAGTTAGATAATCTGTAAAGTCCCAACCAGAACGATGATACTATGATTTCCCTTACCCCAGTATTTGAATGTCTCTGCATTCTACTGGTTCATTCCCCTTTCTAGAATGCTTTTCACCCATGATGGGGTCATTTGCTATGTAAAAATAGGATACTAATACAAGTGTGATCTAATTTGAAATTGTAAAACCAAACACTGCATGTTATCACTCATAGGTGGGTGTTGAATAATTAGAACACTTGGACACAGGGTGGGGAATGTCACACACTGCGGTCAGTTGGGAGGGATAAGGGAGGGACAGTGGGGGGTGGGGAGGGGGGATAACGAGGGGAGAAATACCAGATATAGCTGATGGAGGGATGGAAGCAGCAAACCACATTGCCATGTGTGTACCTAGGCAACAATCCTGCATGAGCTGCATGTACCCCAGAAACTAAAGTACAAAAAAGAAAAGAAATTGTAAAATACTTCCAGCTAATAATTCACGTGGCATCTCTGCAATGTTGCTGGCTTTCTCTGGAAATTTCAAATTATCCTATAGTGCCCTGTAAATCTGTGGCAGTGCCCCAAAGCACCTCAGTGCAGTTTGGGAACTGTGGCTTGAAAGCACAAAGCATTACTAGAGATAAACAGAAATATTGAATAATAACCAAACAGTAGACTCCCCAGGAAGATTTATCAGTTCTGAATGTATAGGCACCTAATAACACTGCTTAAAAATATGTAAAACAAAAGTTGAAAGAATTAGTAGCAGAAATAGACAAATTCACATTTATATACCTCTCTCAATAACTGGTGGAATAAGCATATAATAAATTCAATAAAGATAAATGTAGTGGGAAGCCATTGGAGAGTTTTAAGCAGAAGAGTCATATAACCTGATTTACTTTCAAAAACATCACTCTGGCCCATAATCCATTTTACAGATGGAAAAAATGGACACTTGAAGAGGCTTCATAATTTATCTAAGGCTACCCAGGGAGTCAAGAGATAGAGAAAACACGAAAGTCCAGACCACTCAACTCCAAAGTCCACATTCTTAACCACTGTGATACATGACTATCTGAAAGAATTGTGTCTGTAAAGGGAACTATGCCATTTAAAAATCAGTATATTCTTGGTAATTTTTAGTAACCAGTATTAATGTTAATTGCATTCCTTTATAACTGAGTTCCAGTGGGTACTGCCTCAATTTTGAAGAATCTAAAAGGACATAGACCCATGAACAGGGAAATCGAACAGTTCCTTTCAGTGGTTGCCATTTTGATTCCTTAGTCCCATTTTAAGGTAAATGAAGCACTTCAAGATTCTCAAAGCAGGATATGCAGCGATATTTGTCCTGATGTTTTTAGTGGAGGAAGTATGTTCTGCTCCTTAAAAAGACACCTGTATGTTCAGTTTCAGGGCAAGTTAGTGTTTTCAGAATCCAAGTGAAATCTAACACTATAAAACAATGCCAAGAGCAAACGAAGGAAAGCAAAGATCTGAAACGGCACCCCTGCCCATCGTTTTGATTCTTCAAGTTTCTGAAAATGTATGAGAAGCACCAAGCGCAGTCTCAGACATCCACGTGTCCAGTCGTCAAAAGGGACCTGAAAAGCAGCATTGACAGTGACCAGGTGCTCAAGAAGGTGAGTGTATGGTCTTCTTTTCTTTTTCTTCTCTAAAATGAATTGGCTGGGGTTTACTCCCAAGGCACATGGGTCCTCAGTCCTTGTGTCACCTTCCAAGGGCTTCTTTCTGCCTGCTGCACAAATAGCACCACAGCATTGTAGTAAAGAAAGAGTTTGGCTGGGTGCGGTGGCTCACGCCTGTAATCCCAGCACTTTGGGAGGCCGAGGCGGATGGATCACAAGGTCAAGAGATCGAGACCATCCTGGTCAACATGGTGAAACCCCGTCTCTACTAAAAATACAAAACATTGGCTGGGCATGGTGGCACGTGCCTGTAATCCCAGCTACTCAGGAGGCTGAGGCAGGAGAATTGCCTGAACCCAGGAGGCGGAGGTTGTGGTGAGCCGAGATTGCACCATTGCCCTCCAGCCTGGGTAACAATAGCGAAACTCTGTCTCAAAAAAAAAAAAAAAAAAAAGAGTTTGGTGCAGTGGCTCACACCTGTAATCCCAACACTTTGTGAGGCTGAGGTGGGTGGATCACAAGATCAGGAGTTTGAGACCAGCCTGACCAACATGGTGAAATCCCTTCTCTACTAAAAAAAAAAAAAAAAAAAATTACCTGGGCATGATGGCAGGTGCTTGTAATCCCAGTTACTCTGGGGGGAGTCTGAGGCAGGAGAATCGCTTGAACCTGGGAGGCAGAGGTTGCAGTGAGCCAAGATCATGGTACTGCACTCCAGCTTGGGCCGCGGAGCAAAACTTTGTCTCAAAAAAAAAAAAAAAAAAAAAAGCATTTTATTGACACCAGGCCAGCCACACCATGCAAAAGACAAGTTATTACTCAAATCAGTCTCTCCGAAATTTTGGGATTGAGGTTTTTAAGGGTAATTTGGTGAGTAGGGGGGTCACGAAGTGGAGAATCCTGATTTGTTGGGTTGAAGATGAAATCATAGGGATTTGAAGCTGTCTTCCTGCACTGAGTCAGTTCCTGGGTAAGGTCCACAAGACCAGATGAGACAGCTTATCCATCTGAGTGGGCCAGCTGGTGCTTTGGAACAAAGGGTCTGCATACTGTCCCAAGCACTGATCTCAGGTTTTACCACAGTGACTCTTAAACCGTAATTTCTAATCTTGTGGCTAATTTTCCTGCAAAGACAGTGTAGTCCCCAGTCAAGAAGGGGATTTGTTTTGGGAAAAGGTTGTTATTATCTTTATTTCAAAGTTAATCTATTAATATACACTAAGTTCCTCCCCAGGTTCATTTGGGCTGTGCTCAGGAATGAGCAAGGACAGTTTGAAGGTTAAAAGCAAAAAGGAGTTGGTTAAGTCAGATTTCTTTCACTGTCATAATTTTCTCGGTTATAATTTTTTGCAAAGGTAATTTCACTTGCAAGCCCAGAGCTGGTTGTGTCACCCGCTCTGCATTCCTGACTGAGTGGAGGGCAAAGCCTGGCTTGCCACTGAGGGCCTGTTCCGCCCTTCTCCTCCCTTCCCACTTTGACCTCCACAGCGGCCCCTCCCACCCCTTCCAAAGGGCCTGATCTCACACCTCTTCCCTGGAAAGGCCACCGGCCCCTCCTCCACATCTGGAAGGTCCAGCTGAAAAGTCAGCACTTCAGTCATCACTGCAGGACCTCTGTTCCCGGGACTCCAGCCACCCCCGCTGACCCCTCCAAGTGAGGGGCTCCTTCTCTCGGCTGCTTCCGGGGCCCCTGCCATGAAGCCAGAACTGCACTCGCCCGCGCCTCCCCTCCTGAGCCGGCTCACTTGGAGTGAGACCAGCAGTCAGAATTCTGACTCCTAAAGCCCCGGGTTTGAGAAAATATTCTGATGTCAGATCTTTTCTGAGATTAAATCTAGGGCTTGGATGTGAGGGGGAAAGAGGAGAGGAGAGGTCAGCACCAAGATGAAATGGGTAACTTCGGAAATGGACACCTCACAGACCAGAAGAGAGGGCCTGGCACTTCAAAGACGGCTGGGCCAGACCCCAACTCTCCCTCTGTACTCTGAACTTCCAACTCCCCGGCAGCTGCTCCCTCCCTCCTTTCCTTCTTCCAAGCCTCCTTCTACCTAGCACCGCCTTCACTCTGCCCTCCCTCCTCTGCCTCCAACATCTCTCTCATCCTTCCTGTCACAGTGCCTTTGCTGGGGTCCCTGCCATGTCTCCCTGCTCATCCCAATGGAAGGCCTTCCCAGAACCAGCCCTTTTTTGGTAAAATTGTTCCTAAGTCATTTTTTTAAAATCTATAGTTCTTATAATCAGCTTCCACTACTTAATTATAAGTGCTAATCATAACTTGTTCAAACCAGTCCCTTCAGCAATATTCAATTATTTTTTTTTTCATTGCAATCGCCATCAGAAATGCAATTAACATCATGACCCCATATATGGTATCGGCATGCATCAGTACCACCATAAGGACTGTTTTTATGTTGGGTGAGTTGCTTGGGTGGGGTCTCCGTTATGATTTTGAAAATCATTAATATAAAGGTCTCATGAGATCATTACTATCCTTAATAAGAGACACTCAGAAAATTTCCCTTCTTTTCTATTTCGTTAAAGTAGAAAAAAGAGGGTGGGTATGGTGGCTTGCACCTATAACCCTAGAACTTTGGGAGGCTGAGTTGGGAGGGTTGCTTGAGTCCAGGAGTTTGCGACCAGCCTGGCCAACATGGTGACATACATCTCTACAAAAAATTAAAGAGTTATCCAAGTAAAATGTCACCCACCTGTAGTCCCAGCTACTTGGGAGGTTGAGGTAGGAAGATTGCTTGAGCCTGGCAGTTTGAGGCTGCAGTGAGCTGTGATCACCCCACTGTACTCCAGCCTGGGTGACAGAGTGAGACTCAGAAGGAAGGGAGGAAGGGAGGGAAGGTTGTAACTGACTAGATTGATTTTCTGACCTAATAACACCAGGTAATCTGCTGGAAAAATCTCTGCCCTGTAGGACTTTTCATGGAGCTTTGAACATGGCAGGAACTTTATAAGTTTGTCTTGCACACTTGATCCAAAGTTAATACTATTTTTTTTTTTGAGACAGAGTCTCAAAAATGCATTCCACACTGGAGTGCATTTGCATGTCTCAGCTCACTGTAACCTCCTCCTCCCGGGATCAAGCAATTCTCCTGCCTCAGCCTCCTGAGGAGTGAGACTACAGCCATAGCACCACCACACTAGGCTAATTTTTGTATTTTTAGTAGAGATGGGGTTTTACCATGTTGGTCAGGCTGGTCTTGAACTCTTGACCTCAGGTGATCTGCCCATCTCGGTCTCCCAAAATGCTGGGATTACAGGCTTGAGCCACTGTGCCCAGCTCAAAGTCAATACTATTTTAAATGTTCTTCTGATGTTGTTGTGTAATAACAGTATTCCTTTTCCACATATTCAGATGCATAGACTTCTACATATGATATCCACTGTCATGCTGTTTTTTCTTACACTCCAGTTTATGCTTGTAAGACCTGATGACTTCCCACCAAGAATCCCACCAGTTTCCTTGGAACCTTCGCTCATGACAATTCAAGATGAGTGTTACACACTGGAGAAAGAGATCTGCATTTGGGGCCTTCAACTGAGCAACTCAGAGATTGCCAGACTTGTGAGTTACGGTTTTAAAAATATTTCTTCTAACCTTAATATAAGCATATTATATCATGTGTTCCAGCTGTAGTTCATGTGATTACTGATTGATATACTACAAGGTTTTCTCTAAAACCAAAACAAAACCAACACTATATTTTAAGTTAACAGTAAGTTAAATATTTCAAACATAAAAATGGAGAAAATATTAGAACTGACATGACCCAAATGTAATATACTATTTTTAAAGGTGTAACCTTTGCAGATATTGACAAATATATTATTATATATGCATGCATGTGTTTATTTGCAAAATGGAATTATACTGTGTGTATGATTTTGTGACTCTTTTACTCACATTATATTATCAAGATTTCTCCCCATTTATAAAGTTTGACTGCCATCATATCACATATAACCTTCATTCTCAAAAGACAGTTTTGCTGGATACACAATTATAGATTAACTTTTCTTTTTCTTTTTTTTTTTTTGGAGACAGAGTCTCACTCTGTTGCCCAGGCTGGAGTGCAGTGGCATGATCTCAGTTCATTGCAGCCTCCATCTCCCAGATTCAAGCAATTCTCCTGCCTCAGCCTCCCCAGTAGCTGAGACCACAGGCATGTGCCACCACACCTCCTAATTTTTGTATTTTTAGTAGAAACAGGGTTTTACCATGTTGGCCAGACTGGTCTTGAACTCCTGACCTCAGGTGATCCACCCACCTTGGCTTCCCAAAGTGCTGGGATTACAGGCATGAGCCATTGCACTAAAATCTTAATAAATGGGTTTAACAGCATTTTTGATAGATTTAGAGAGATAATTAGTAAAATGATGACAGATCATAAGAAAATATCCAGAAAGAATGAAGCATGAAATAACAAAAAAAAGAAAAGTCAAAAGAAAAGGTAAGAGACATAAGTAGATAGGCTGGTTGCTGTGGCTTGCGTCTGTAATCCCAGCATTTTCGGAGGCTGAGGTGGGAGTAACACTTGAGCCCATGAGTTTGAGACCAGCCTGAGCAACATAGCAGGACCTCGTCTCTTAAAAAAAAAAATTAATGAACCAGATGTGGTGGCACACGCCTGTAGTCCCAGCTACTCAGGGAGCTGAGACAGGAGGATTGCTTGAGCCTGGGAGGTGGAGGCTATGGTGAGCCATAACCACATCATTGTACTCCAACCTGGACAAAAAAGCAAGGCCCTGTCTCAAAAAAAAAAAAAGAAGAAAGAGAGAGACTTAGTAGATAAGTGAGATAATCAATACATGTGTAATTGAAGTCCCAGAAGGAGAAGAGAATGAGAATGAGACAAAAGCAATACTTGAAAAGATAATAGCTAAGAACTTAAACTGATGAAAGACATAAAACACAGATTCAAATAGAGTTGTTAATCCCAAGAAGGTTAAACACAAAGAAAATTTAGAAACATTATAATAGCACTATTAAAGACCAAAGACAAAGAGAAAATATTAAAATTAGTCAATAAATAACACATTACCTTCAAAGGAACTACAATAAAACTGGTATCTGACTTTTCAAAACTGGTATCTGACAGTGGAAGTCAGTTACCAATAGAACATCTTCAAAATCCTGAAGGGAAAATGCCAACTAAGAATTCTATACCCAACAAAAATATTTTTCAAAAATGGAAGTGAAGCAAAGACATTGTCAGACCAACAGAAACTGGAAGAATTTATCTCAAGCAGATCATCCCTAAAAGAAATACTAACACACATTCTTTAAAGAAAAATGATCCCAGACGGAAGGTGGGAGGTGCAGGAAGAATCAAAGAGCCATGAAAATGGCTTTCTTATATTACTTAAAAGACCTGACTGTTAATTTTATATGGAGATATAAGTGGCAAAAAATAAGCAGGATAATCTTGAACACAAAGAACAGAACAGGAGAATTTTCTCTAACAGATATTAACACTTCTTATAGAGCTACAGAAATTAAGGTAGTGTAATATTGCTGCAAGCATAGAAAAGTATACCAATGGAAAAGAATAGAAAGCCTGGAAACAGAGTCGTACCTTTATGGACATTTAATTATTGACAAAGATGACAATGCATGGCATCGAGGAAAAGATGGTCTTTTCAATCAATGATGATAAGGCCATTGGAGATAAGCATGGGGTATAAAGAAGCTTGATCCCTACTTCACATCATACCCCCAAATCAATGCTGATGGATTGCAGAGTTGAAAGGCAAAGCAATAAAGTTTGTAGAACATAATGTTAAAAAAAAAAATCATCATGACTTTGGAGTGGAGAAACACTTTTTTAGAAGTATACAAAAAGCACTAATCATAAAAGAAAAGATTGATTAAGTTAGACTCCATTAAAACTAACAACTTTTGTTCACCAAGAATTACCATTAAGAGAGTGAAAAGGCAGGCCACAGAAATGGAAAAGATATTTGCTATGTATATAATCAAAAAGGTTTCTTAGGCAGGATATATATATAACTCCCATACATCATTAAGAGAAAGAAATTATCCAATAGAAACATGGTCAAGAAACTTGAATAGGCACTTACCAAAAAAACTATCAAATAGCCAGTAAAAATATTAGGTGCTCAACCTCATTAGGGATAAATGGAATTCAAATTTAAAACATGAAGGGATACTACTCCACAGCCACTGAAATAGTGAAAATAAAATTCCTCACCATCAAGGGTTGGTGAAGAATTGAAGCAACTGGAATTTTCATACACTGTGGTGGGAGTGTGTATTCACACAGTCACTTGGAAAACTGTACTGCAGTGTCTACTGATTCCAGAGTCTGTTATCCAGCAGTTCCACTCTAGGTAAATATCCAACGTGAATGTATGTACTTGGGCACCAGGAGACTTAATGCAAAAATGTTCATGGAAATCAATAACCAGAAACAACGCAAATTTCCATCAACAATAGAATAAATAAAGAAATTGTAGTATATTAATATAGAGGAATGCTATGTGGCAATGAAAATGAACTAATTGTGGCTATACAAAAATAAAATATGATGACTCTTACAAGCATAATGTTGTACAAATGAAGGGAGGCTCAAAAGAATTAATACTGGCCGGGCGCGGAGGCTCATGCCTATAATCCCAGCACTTTGGGAAGCTGAGGCAAGTGGATCATGAGGTCAGGAGATCGAGACCATCCTGGCCAACATGATGAAACCCCATCTCTACTAAAAAATCAAAAAAGTTAGCCAGGCATGGTGGCACATGGATGTAGTCCTGGCTGCTTGGGAGGCTGAGGCAGGGGAATCACTTGAACCTGGGAGACAGAGGCTGAAGTGAGCTGAGATCAGGCCACTGCACTCCAGCCTGCTGACAGAGAAAGACCCTGTCTCAAAAAAAAAAAAAAAAAAAAAGAATGAATACTATATGTTTGAATTTATGTAAAGTTCAAAAAACAGGTACAATTCTAATGTTTGATTATGACAAAATTATGTTTAGGGAAGAAGGAGGAAGTAGAGAACAGGTAAGGAAACTAGCAGTCATTTTCTAGGCTCTTTTTAAAAAAATCCCTTGTTTTATTTCTTTGAATGTGTTCAAGTCATTTTCTATTCTGTCTAATTGTTTCAATCATCTGAATTATTTGGGGGTCTGATATTGTTATCTCTTGCTTCTACTGGCTTTTACTCATGGTGACACCAATTTGTGTGTTGTGTGATTTCTTTTCTACTGTTAACTCATATTTCCAGGGAAAATGGTTGTGGCAATTTCTTGAGCTCAAGTTTGAAGAGAGCTTCCTCTTCAGGGTGTGAATTTGTGTCTGCCATTCACTCTGGGTGCTACCATCCCAGGGTTGCATTCAATTAAATTCTTGACTTGAGATTTCTTTGAACCATCCAGATGGTTAATTAATGCAGAGTACAAAACTGTATTTGAGCTAGTCTGTGAGTTCTCAGGGGACACGTTTTTCCTTATATTTTTTAGTCTGAGATAGGCAGTTTTCCCCAGGGTCCTTTGGGAAAAGGGAGAATTGGGTTTTTATTCTAGCCATCCTTACTCTAAGAGAATAAAACTATTGGCCCACTTTGTATTTTGGGCCGTAACTTCACGCAGCATTTTCTACCTGACGCCTTGTCTCCAGTGGCTATGACTTTATTTTCTATCCCCTGGGCTCCAGGATCCATGAAAACCAACTGCTGTTTGATGGACGCTCTCAAAGGAAAAGCTGGCGTCAGTGCCCTGTGTACCCCACTGGGCTCCTATTTTCTCTCATTCGTTGACCTTTGGGTATTCCTCATTAAACTGCCAGCAAATCGACACATTTTGAAGAGAGATTTTTTTTTTAATTCTTAGAAGAAAACAGAGGAAAAGCTTTATGACCTTGGATTTGGCAATTATTTCTTGGAAATGACACCAAAGGCACAGGCAGAAAGAAAGAAAAAGTAGATAAATTGGACTACATCAATAGGTAAAACTTCTATACATCAAAGGATGTAATCAATAAAGTGAAGAGGCAAACTTATGAACTGGGAGGAATTAATTGCAAGTTAGGTATCTGATAAGGGGTTAACATCTAGAATATATTTGTAAAAACTGCTACAACTTGGCTGGGCATGGTGGCTCATGTCTGTAATCCCAGCACTTCTGGAGGCCGAGTCAGGCAGATTGTTTGAGTCTAAGAGTTCGAGACCAGCCTAGCACCATGGTGAAACCCTATCTCTACAAAGAATTAGCCTGGCATGCTGGCATGCACCTGTAGTCCCAGCTGCTCAGGAGGCTGAGGCAGGAGGATTGCCCGAGCCCAGGAGGTAGAGGCTGCAGTGAGCTGGGATCACACCACGGCACTCCAGCCTGTGTGACAGAGTGAAACCCTGTCAACAAAACAAAACAAAACAACTGCCACAACTCAACAAAAAACCAGCAAGCAACCTGATTTCCTTCCTTCCTTCCCTCCTTCCTTTCTTCCTTCCCTCCTTCCTCCCTCCCTCCCTCCGTCCTTCCCTCTCTCCGTTCCTCCCTCCCTCCCTCCCTTCTTCCCTCCCTCCCTCCCTTCCTCCCTTCCTTTCTTCCTTCTCTCCCTTCCTTCCTCCCTCCCTCCCTTCCTCCCTCCCTCCCTCCCTCCCTTCCTTCCTCTCTCCCTCCCTTCCTTCCTCCCTCCCTCCCTTCTTCCCTCCCTCCCTCCCTCCCTTCCTCCCTTCTTTCCTCCCTTCCTCACTTCCTCTCTTAGTGTCTCACTGTGTCACCCAGGCTGGCGTGCAGTGGTGCAATCAATCTCACCTGACTGCAACCTCTGCCTCTCAGGTTCAAGTGATTCTCATGCATCAGTCTCCCAAGTAGCTGAGACTACAGGTGCACACCACCACACCCGGCTAGTTTCTTTTGTTTTGTTTTTATAGTAGAGACAGGGTTTTACCATGTTGGCCAGGCTGGTCTCAAATGCCTGCCCTCTAGCAATCCACCCGCCTTGGCCTCCCAAAGTGCCGGGATTATAGGCAAAAGCCACCACGCCTGGCCACAACCTCATTTAAAACAGGCAAGGAATTTAACTTGACATTCATCAAAGAAGATATACAAATGGCCAATACATGCATGAAAAAATGTTCAACATCACTAATCACTAAGGAAATGCAAATCAAAACCACAATGACATGCCAATCTCGCTATTAAAAAAACCGAAGTAACAAATGTTGATGAGGATGTGGAAAAGTTGTAACCTTGTGCACTGTTGGTGACAATGTGAAATGGTGCGGCTAGTATGGAAAACAGTATGACGTTTCCTCAAAAACATAAAAATAGAATCACCATATAATTCAGCAACATCACTTGTGAATATATGCCCCCCAAAATTAAAAGCAGGATCTCAGAGAGAGATTTCTGTATCCATGCGGACAGCAGCATTATTCATGATAGCCAAAAGGTGGAAGCCACCGAAGTGTCCATTAACAGCTGAATGAATAAACAGAATGTGGTGTATACAGACAATGGAATATTATTCAGCCTTAAAAAGGGAAGGAAATTCCGATACACACTGCTGCAGCATGAGATGAATCTTGAGGACATTGTGCTAAGTGAATAAGCCAGTTACAAAATGACAAACACTGTATAATTCCACTTACACCATGGAGCTAGGGTAGTCAGATTTATATATAGAGAAAATAGAATGGGGGTTACCAGGGCCTGCAAAAAGAGGAGAATAGGGAGTGAGTTTCAATTTTGCAAGATGAAAAGAGTTCTGGAGACGGATGGTGGTTAGGACTGCACAGCAATGCAAATGCTTGATGCCACTGAACTGGATACTTAAAAATGGCTTAGGTGGTAAATGTTGTGTGCATTTTGCCACAGTCTTAAAGTTATTTTAAATATGTAGCCTGCAATTTTAGTTGCTTTTATTCAGAGCATCAGTCAGGGTACCCAGTCTGCTCAAGCTGGAAATAAGATGTTGTCCATGCAAGTTAAAAGTGATTCTTGGCTGGGCAAGTTGGCTCATGCCTGTAATCCCAACATTTTGGTAGGCCGAGGCGGGTGGATCATGAGATCAGGAGTTCAGTACCCACCTGGCCAACATGGTGATGCAGGAGAATTGCTTGAACCCAGGAGGCAAAGGTTGCAGTGAACCGAGATTGCGCCGTTGCTCTCCAGCCTGGGTAACAGGTAAGACTCTGCCTAAACAAAACAAAACAAAACAGAAATCCTTAGCAGTTCCTTAAAGGTACCCCTCTTGCTAATCTGGAGACTGCTGAGGAATTCTGTCTTGGATAGCATGGTCCTTGCCATGGCAGTATTGGTGCCAAAGGAGTGATGGTGCAAACCTCTGATTAGGAGCTTTAGGACCCAATCAAGAGCCTGTTTGGCACAGACCGATGTTAACATAGGCACTGACATGCCACATTGGCTCCTCTGTCCGAAACATGCTTGCAGAATCCAGCCCAGCACTCAAACCAGGCACCTCTCATTAAAGAGGCCTTGGGCACCAGCTCTGTAGTTAAGGTTGCAAGCGCCTTTTTAATCTCTGCCGAAGTGTAATTTGGAATCCTATATCTGACCATGTCATTACCTCAAAAAACCTGGAATTCTCCAAACTCCACCAAAGCCTCTTCTAGGCTTAAATTCTGAACTGAAGGGATCCTCAGGTTGCGGTGGCTCTAATTGCTAAAAGGTGGCCTGTTCACGACATTCTCATGATTTACATTTTAAAATACTCTCTCCTTTCATTGGGTGGGGATTTAACTGTCATTGGTACCCACTGTTACCACAGGAAGTGACCTGGCTGTGGGCCCTCTGCACAGGAAACTGTGGGAACTTGGGCTGGCTTTGGCGCTGGCTCCAGGGCTCATGTGTTGACTCCAATCCAGATGCTTCCATATGAGGAGCTCCTAGTTGCTGAATCTGCACAGTCCAGTTCTCAGTAGACCTCCAACTCCTAATCATATTTAGGGCTATGGCCGGGCGAGGGGACTCACACCTGTAATCCCAGCACTTTGGGAGGCTGAGGCAGGCGAATCACCCAAGTTTAGGAGTTTGAGACCATCCTGGCCAACATGGTGAAACTCGTCTCTTCTAAAATTACAAAAATTAGCTGGGCGTGGTGGCAGGCACCTATAATCCCAGCTACTCAGGAGGCTGAGGCAGGAGAATCGTTTGAACCCAGGAGGCGGAGGTGGCAGTGAGCCAAGATCATGCCCTTGCACTCCAGCCTGGTGGACAAGAGTGAAACTGAGTCTTTAAAAAAAAAAAAAAGGACTATGAATGACAGATGCTTTAACTATTATAATTTTTATTTAGTTATTAGAAGTTTGGCATAGTCACACCTCTCTACTGAAAATAACACAATCAGGCCAGGCGCAATGGCTCACGCCTGTAATCCCAACTGATGTGCTCAGTAGGCCTATTTTTTATGACATGGCTTATTATTAATTATTCTGATTATTTCTTTATTATTTTATGACTCGGTATATTATTTCATCAGCTGAAAACCTTAAACCCAAATCTGAGGAGGTAGAACTAACTGAACAATGTGCTCCGCTCCCTTCCCCAGCGAGCTGTACCTCGATGGCAATTACTTGGAATATTCCGGAGCATTGGCTCTTCTCAGGCCCAGAGCAGACTACGCAGAGATGCAGGGGAAAGACCAGCCTGCCCCAGCCTCACCAGACACTGGAAATCCCCCTCCGCGGCTCCAAGGTAAGTGCTGGGGAACTTGGCACTACAGTCCTGTTGGGGCCACCTAAAAGGAGGGCGCTTTGCTCTCTGATTAAAAGTGACCTCAGTGGTCAAGTCTGATTCTTCTTCTTGAGTATATGTGGGACACAAAGTAATGGCTCCCAAAGATTCTTTGCCCTAATCATCAGAACCTGTGAATATGTCACCTCACATGGCAAACGCGACTCTGCCCGTAAGTTAAGGATGAAATAGGAAGATCATCTTGGATCATCCTCATGGGTCCAGTGTAATCACGAGGATCTTTCTAGGAGGGAGGCAGGAGAGTTCGAGGAGATGTGGCCATGGAAGCAGAGGTTGGAGTGACGTGAGGATGGGGCCAGGAGCCGGGGAACGTGGGCAGCCTCTACAATGTGGAAAAGGCAAGCAAAGTAATTTTCCTCGGGGCCTTTAAAGGAATACAACTCTGTTGACACCTTGACTTTCACCTTTAAGACCTATTTCAGAGTTCAGACCTCCAGCACTATAAGATCTGAAACTTGTATTGTTTTAAGGCACTAAGTGTGTGGTCATTTGCAACAGCCGCAAGAGAAAGCTACTAGTGTGTTAATCAGATTCTTTAGGTTAAAAGTGAAAGCAACCCAAACAGAATTAAAGACGAGTATGGGTTTATTGGCTCACATAACTGTGACATCCATGGGTACAGCTGTCTTCAGAGATGGCCAAATTCAGGGGCTCATACCACCTCATTAGGAGACTCAGAATATGCTGCTCTTGACTCTACTTCCCTTCCAAGGGTTGGTCTTCCTTCTTCTGGCTGCAGCCAGGCTTTCTCCAGCTGATGTGCCCGCCAACAGTCCCAGGGCTGTATCATCATGACTATCATCAACCAGAAAGTAAAGGCTTCTTTCTTCCAATGACTATGTGTCAGATCCCATAGGAAGATTCTGATTGGCCCTCCTTGGGTCACATACCTACCTCTTGGCCCAATCTCAGGTCAGGGTGAACTGTGATTGGCCAGGATGCAGCCCACACCCATCCTTGGAGGGTAGAGCACTGTGCCCAGCAGCCCTGCCAGCACCACCGGATTTGCAGTGGGGAATTGGCAGTGCCCCAAAGAGTAGACAGATGGGAGGAAAAATGCAGGACAGGCCAGAACAACAGCTGCTTACTCCCCTGTGAATGGTTTTCCATAGCTGACATTTAACTTCAGCTGAGAGCCACATATTGGGCAGTGGGGTTGAGAGTAGATGGGGGAAGAGAAGCTAAATCTGGCAACCCTACTCCATTCCCATCACTTGTGAACAAGATTTTCTCAGCACTTCAACTATAACAATGAAAAATAGAAATGGAATTGATGCTAAACTGTGCCTCATGCTAGCAGTAATATTCAATGGATACGTGAATTAACTATAAAAACAAATAGGCCAGGTGTTGTGGCTCACACCTGTAATCCCAGCACTTTGGGAGGCTAAGGTGGGCAGAACACGAGGTCAAGAGATCAAGACCATCATGGCCAACATGGTGAAACCTCCTCTCTACTAAAAATACAAAATCTAGCTGGGCGTGGTGGTGCGCCTGTAATCTCTCAGCTACTTGGGAGGCTGAGGTGCGAGAAATCACTTGAACCCTGGGACACGGAGGTTGCAGTGAGCCAAGATTGCGCCACTGTAGTCAGCCTGGGTGACAGAGCAAGACTCCATCTCAAAATAAAATGTAAATAAAGCAGCACCGTCCATCTCACAGAGCAATGCATTCAGAATTTATTTTTGTATGTAATTAGGATCAATTTCATACTTCTAAAAATTGATGAATAACTGGAGAAGAAACTTTTAGTACTTTAGAGCCTTATAATATTTTTTTTGATTTTTTGAGACAGGGTCTCACTCTGTCACCCAGGGTGGTGTGCAGTGGTGCGATCTCTGCTCACTGCAACCTCCGCCTCCCAGGTTCGAGCAATTCTCCTACCTCAGCCTTCCAAGTAGCCGAGGCAAAGGTCACTACCATGCCTGGCTAATTTTTGTATTTTTAGTAGAGACAGGGTTTCTCTACACTGGCTGAGCTGGTCTCAAACCCCTGGACTGCAGCAATCCACCCACCTCAGCTTCCCAAAGTGCTGGGATTACACATATGAGCCACTGCACAGAGCCTGATCCCAAGACATTTTTAAAATTGAGTATTTGTACATGTAGCATTTTTATTACAGAGAAGTATTACAGGATTAGCTATAAAATATGTTTTAATACAAGATTTTACAGAATAAATAGAATGGAAATAAAAGTAAAACACAAGAAAAGGGAATAATAATGTCAATTGCTAAAGAAGAGTTTGCTCATGTTTGCTGTTGTTGCAGTGTTCTGGTGAGTGAGGGCGAGTATCAAATGGTTTGGTTTAGATTCCATTTGATTCACTAAAGGGAATGATATAACAGATTTTATGTTTAAATGTTACTATTTGCCATATTCTAAAAATCTCTTTTGAAAATTCAAAAGTGATGATGAAAAACTCAGATACCAACCTAAAAATGTGCAAGATGGTACATAAACTTTTTAATATTCCTCTAGGATGTTATAAGAGCAAAATGTTTGAGACCAATGCTCTGTGAAGCTAAATGTTTGATCTCCTAAGCTACTCCCAGACCTCTTGGTAACTCTTCCTTCTGGTCAGAGTCAGGCACAGTGGCTTTCAGTTGATGACAACCACAGGGCCCAAATGCCTTAGAACCCAGTGACAAGTTTGTTTCTTTTCTTTTTTTAAAAAAATTTTTTGTTGCATTTTAGGTTTGGGAGTATATGTGAAGAACATGCAAGATTGTTGCATAGGTACACACATGGCAGCGTGATTTGCTGCCTTCCTCCCCATCACCTATATCTGGCATTTCTCCCCATGATACCTCTCCCCAACTCCCCACCCCCAGCTGCCCCTCCCCTATTTCCCCCCAAGAGACCCCAGTGTGTGATGCTCCCCTCCCTGTGTCCATGTGTTCTCATTGTTCAACACCTGCCTATGAGTGAGAACATGCGGTGTTTTGTTGGGAACGAGAGGGGTAAGAAACACTGCGGGTACCTGCCTTCCAATAACTAGGGGTAAGAGCAGTAAAAAGACGCCAGAGAGACGTGTAGGTGCGGCCAGAGGAGGTAGAAAAAATAGGAGTGGCCCAGCCACCAGGGGACTGGTACCCGTCAAAGGAGGTGGAGAGCGGCGCAGGGAGAGACCAATCATAAAGAGTGAAACCAGTAGAAAGGGTGGGTATAGGTAAGGGCAGTGCGTTGTTTAGGGTAGCAGAGTTTCCAGGGGGGAGAGGGGTCAAGAGAGGAGTTAACAACATGGCAGAGAGAGCGGGGAATAGACGGGAAATCAGGAGAGGAAGAATTCCATGACTCTTTGATACCAAGATAGGTGAGAAGCCAGTCCCTAGCATAGAAAGAGGTTTCGCCCTTAAGGAGGGCAGAAGGGCCTTCAAATGTGGTGAGATGCTTCATTCCTAATTCAAAGCAAAAGGGACCATTGGTAGAGGGGAGAATAGGTAAGAAGGGAATGCGATTATTGAGAGCGAGTTGGTCCCATATTTTCGACGCATAAAAACACATAGGGGGAGAAGCAGCTTGGGCAAAATAGGAATAATTGGCAGTTTGAGGGGTAATATGAGTGGAGGAAGGGAAGCCAAAAAGAGAAGTATCATTCAAATAAACAGGAAAAGCAGGGTCAGTCCAGGTAACAGGACGGAGGATAGGAGGGTCAGGGACATAAGCCCAAAGGATTTGAGAAGAATCAGCAGAGTGAGCATGGGAGGGGGAAACCTGGCAGGACAATATGGCCATCATGGCAATAAACATGACTGCAGGGGAACGGGAGTGTCCTTGTTCAGGAACAAGCTGGGTCGCTTCGGCAGTCAGACGGCGAAGTTGAGACCAGGTCGGCAGGGCACTGCCGTGGAGCGGTGTGCAGATTCGTTGTGTCTGTCGCAGGCGGCGGCGTCTCCGGTGGGGTGGTGATGTCAGTGTTAGGCGATGAAATCGAGCAATTAGGGCGTTTGCTCTGCCGTCGAACTGGTCCATGCTTGACAAGACATTCAGGTACCCAAATTGGCGAGGCAGCAGACCTGGGAAAAACACAAACATGTCCTCGTCCCCAGATGAGGACTGGATCTGGTCCATGCCATTGGTTGGCTAAAGGATCTTTCCACAAGACCTCTGCCATAGCCTTATCCTGAGGGTGCCAGAAACGGTTGGCGGCGGAGAAGCCATTGGCATCCAAAGTTAAGAAATTTAGGACATATAAGGCATGACGCAACCAGTTGTGGGGCGTCTTATGAATAAAGTGAAGGGTACTACCATGTTTGAGTTTGTGTAGTAAAGTTTTGAGGACAGCGTGGGAGCGTTCCACAACACCCTGACCCTGAGGATTAAAGGGAATGCCAGTGCGATGACAAATCTGAAACTGAGAACAAAAGTTAGCAAAACCTTTGCTGGTATAGGCAGGGCCATTATCAGTCTTTAAAATCTTGGGGGGTCCTATAATAGAGAAAACTTGTAAACAGTGAGAAATAACATCCTTCACAGCTTCACCTGTATGAGCAGAGGCCACAACAAAATGAGAATAGGTGTCAATGGTAACATGCACATATTGTAATTTACCAAAGGGTGTAAAGTGAGTGACATCCATTTGATAAATATGGCCTGCCTGCAAGCCCTGAGGATGAACCCCGTGATGTTGGGTAACAGGCAGGTGAGGCAAACAAGCCGTACAGATTTTAACAATTTGTCGAGCCTGCTCTCTGGTTATCTTAAATTGCAAACGAAGGCTGTGCGCACTTCAGTGATGCAGCGCATGAGAAGCCTCAGCCTGTTGGATAGGAGATAAAACAGGGAAAACATGTTGAGTTAGTTGATCAGCAAACGAATTACCCTCAGTCAGGGGGCCAGGCAGGGTAGAGTACGCCCTGATATGTCCTATAAAGAAAGGATGAAAACGTTTTCTCACCGCTTGCTGCAAGGGAAGGAGGAGATGAATTATTGGAGAGG